ACTTCAAGGTAGTTTCAAGGCCTTCAGCAGCGGGTGGGCCCCTTTGTGTGGGTGGGGAGCAGCCTCTTGTCCAGGAATGGCCACCTCTTCCGGCCCCTTGCATGGTAACAGAGAACACCCTCTGGATTTCCCAAAATGCCTGCTTCCTATAAGAGATCTTCCGCGCGGGGGGGGGGGGACTGCTGCACTACAAACCTTGCTCCCAAGCCTAGGTTGTCACAGGGGACTAAAACATGGGCCCCTTTGTGTGGGTGGGGAGCAGCCTCTTGTCCAGGAATGGCCACCTCTTCCGGCCCCTTGCATGGTAACAGAGAACACCCTCTGGATTTCCCAAAATGCCTGCTTCCTATAAGAGATCTTCCGCGCGGGGGGGGGGGGACTGCTGCACTACAAACCTTGCTCCCAAGCCTAGGTTGTCACAGGGGACTAAAACACCGTGTCCTGCTTCGGATGTGGAGACAAAACAGGTTGAAGAAAGGATGGAAATGTTGCTCATTGCAGGTCAGAATCCTCTTGGATCATTAGGCCAGCCGGAGTGCCTCGGAAGATGTGTTCTAGGAGGAGCACATGGAAGCCAGCGGATGGATGAATGATCCCCCCCCCGCCCGCTGGTTTCCGTTTCTTGCTGTTGGCCTGCCGTGAGGGAGACAAAAGGCATCCTATTAAGGAGGGACCACTGTTTGCTTTTAAGCCACTTTAAGGCCACTGCCCTCAGCGCTGGGGTGACTGACCTGCGGGACCCCATCCTCAGTACAGAAGGAGTAGGCAGGCGCAGTGTTCCTTTATAGTCCAGTACATTAAGGTTGATTCGGTCATGGGACGTCTGCCTGAACTAGGCCACGTTTGTGGGGAAGAGCCCATGATCTGGACAAGAGAACAGCTTCTCCTCTTAGGAATCTTGAGGCCTTGAGTCTCCAGAGTTGCTGCTGCTGTTTGGGGTCCATCCCTCCAGTATTTTTTTTAATGGTCTTAACTCATTTTTTGGTGTTCTCAGTGTGATGTAGTAGCGGATAGAGTGACGGACTAAGACTTTGGAGAACAAGGTATGGATCCTCAGTTGCCCATGGAAACTGACTGAGGGGGATTGAAACTGATAAAACTACTCCTTAAATATCTTACCTACCTTGAACATCCTAATTAGGCTCACTAAATCTGTTCTGACTTAATAGCAGGTAACAACAACCCCTTTTTCTTGGACTTGGTTAAGATTATTTGATGTAACTTCTACTTTACATGGATATGGGGTTGCTCTGAATTTCCGTAAAAGCTGCAGTGCCATAACAAATGTGGAAAAAGCAAGAGTGCACTGTAGTTTTGAGGACCCACTTGAAAATGGGCACACCTGTTCGGTGAATGAGGGAAGTGGGTTTTTTTTGTCTCTTCTGCGGTTCTGACTTCCCATAGATTTCAATCAGACCTCTTCAGGGAGAGCCTCCTGTGGATAGAGGTGGCACAGTGGCAAAGATACCTGCCTCATGTCCTTTGGCAAGAGAGCCCAAGGAGAGGGCCGTGCGTGATAGGTTTAGGGTTTGGTGGCTACAGGTAGGAGATGTTCCCTCTGAGAACCTGAGGTGTCTGAAGATTGTCATAGACTGTAATCCATGAAAACTCACACTGGAACAAACCTCATAGTCTTTAAGATGCCGCAACAGCTCAGTTGTTACTGAAACAGTCCAAGGTGTTGTCATCTTTGATGACCTCGCATAACCTGCAGCCAGCTCTGAGGGCTGTAATGGTTAAAGGGCATGTTCTGAGTCGGGGCCTAGAATTTAGCTGCACCTGATGCTGGAGCAAAGAGTTGGTGGGCACTGCCTTTCGTGGTCTCTTCCTCCACGTGGGTTCTGGTCCTCCTTTAGTGGGATTCCTTTCGAAAACAGTCCGGAAAGTACTGCTGCTAATCAAAGGCCACTGCCCATTTGCTAGCAGGTCTGTATTGTAGAATATGATGACGAGTTCTAGAGCCTCTGATACCAGTTGGAGGATTGGTTCCCAGCCTCCTTCATGAAGGGCTCAGTTGAGGAAGAGTGCTGGACCGTTGAAACTGCCTCTGCCCACAGGGAGTGCTTCACTCATGGAATCCCATGGCATATTTAAAGCTTTGGGTGAGGCTGCGTGGCAGATGCTCCCTTTGAGATCCCTTCTCAGGAGAAGGTGGATAGGGCAGTGATTGGTCCAGGCCAGCTTGCAGTCCTCTTTGGGCTTCACTTGAGACAGACATGCCACACGTTACTCACCCAGGCCTGATGAAGTCATCTGGAGGCGTCTTTCTAGACTTTCAGTATGGCTTTACTGGATGTCACATATTGTTGGGGAAAAATAGGCAGCTCCAATAGATACATTCTGCAGATCTCCTTGGGAGTTCTGGTTTTTTTTGTGGGTTTTTTTTCCAAAGAAAGGTTATTATACAGTTACTTTCCCCATTAAAATACAAGTTTTTATTTATTAAAATATTTTTACTCCACCTTTCTCTTTTAAAAAACCCAAGATGGCTTACAATTTTGAAAGACAATAGTTAAAGCTAAAAACAATGAGTATACAGCAGTGGTTTATATCATTAAAAGGCAATATTTAAAGCTAAGAACAATGACTATAAGGAGGCAGCTTACATCATTAAAAGACAATGTTAAGTAAAGTAATAAGTATACAGATATTTAAAAGGAACAAACAAGTATGCAGTTATACATGTTATTCTCTAGTTTCTTTTTTGCATATATTTTCCTTTCAAAAAGAGTTGTTTTGTTTTATAACTTATCACAGTTTCTTTGTATCTTCAAAACAGTTAATTTATAAGCAAGTTTATCAACAATTTATAAGTAAGTTTATCAACAATGTAAACAAAGTTTAAGCTTTGAACAATAAACTGTCTCGTGTGGTTTTATATTTCAGTCTTCAGTCCAGTGAAGCAAGGAGTTCAACAGTTCTAGGATGCAAAACTCGTATCTTGTAAAGGTTCCTTTAAAAGTCATTTTTCCAGACTTAAATATTTGCTTGATTTGCTATGTGATGTTTTTTCTGAATTTGCAAATATAATGAAGCTATGCCGTGTTGCAATGAGCATTGTTTTCTAATTCCTTTTACCATTTTAAACTTGTTATTATTGTATGATTTTAATTGTGAGCTGCCATGGGGAGAAAGGTGGCACATACTGTATCTCCTTCATCTCAGTGCCGGCTTCTAAAATAATGCGATTTCCCATATCAAGTCCAGCCATATATTGATGTTAACTTTCTCAAGATCCTTCCAGCATCTTGCTATTGTAAGATGTTCTGATGCCAACCTAAATCAATTCATAGACAACTAACTGGAGTTTTCATCAACAAGTAAAGGTGGACCATAATAATAGCTCACCCACAGCAGTTGGTATTTTCTCACCCCCACCCCATTGTCGTTACCATCTTTTTTTCAGCATTCATTAACTTTGGGGCATTTTAGCCACATGGGTATTAACAGTGTACCCTTTTGATCACATTTCCTTGAGCATATTGGTGATGTATTACTGTGTAGGGGGTGAACTTGTTAAGGCAGAAGTGCCATCTGTGTATGATTTTGATTGCTATTTTTTAAAACTTTTGCTGATACTGACTTGCATTGGTGAGTTTCTCACCAATTATTCTACCGAATATCAGTCATGCTGTCCCTAGTTGTGTGCTCAACAGGCTATTTTGACCCATTTGTCATTCCGTATTTGCTGTTCTCTTAACCACAAATATGTTTGAGGTCCTTGTGGTTGGGTCCATACAGAATTTTTCAGGATTTGTCACTGATCTTGCTGGACTATGTTCTGTCAGTATCATTCTTGGCAAACTGACGGACCTGCATCTTAATGGGCCCACTGTGAAGTAGCCCTATAACAATTAATAGACCTGATGCATCTGTGGTGGGGAAAGAGGAGGTGAAGGAAACAACAAAGCAACAGATGATAGGAGAGCTGGGAAGAGATAAGTAGTGGCGGGGAGGGGAGGAAGTGCCCACAGGTGCTTCCTGGGGTCGCTTTTCCAAGGGGAGGGCAGCCCCGAATTCTTTGCCTGATCAGAGCAAGTTTGAAAAAAAACAAAGGGGATTGGAAACATCCTGTAGGAGCCAGCACAAAAGAGGGCAAGGCTCTCAAGATGTTTTTTTAAATTTTTTTTTAAAAATCATTTTTATAAAACAGCCTGATGTGTTTTATGGAGGAAGAATATAGAAATCCAACTGGAGTTGTTCCTTGAAATTACGTTTCAAAATTTCAGAAATGTCATTAGTAGTTGGGTTGACTCATTAAAGGAAGCCCTGGACAGGGCTGTTGATAAGACCTTTTGGAAGTTACGGGTTTTATAGTGTTTGGTAGGAAGAAACATGGGGCACATAACAGCCCCTTTCTCGGGAGGAGACCATCTGAGGAGAGCCTATAATTCTGGGCAGGCAATCCGTGAGATCCGTGAGATCTGGTCTCTTTTGAACACAGTCCCAAGCCCTCTTTCCTGGTCAAATGTTAGAGGGTGGACTGTAGTTCCCTTGTGTGGAGTAGGTGACTGTAGGTGCCAAAGTGTTGTAGGATCAACCCTCGGCAGCCCCAGCTGAAAAAGGGTCTCGGGCAGTGGTGTCGGGAACGACCCTTGCACGAGAACTGGGGGGTGGGGAAGGAAATGAGGCCGGCAGGAATCATTCATTGGAATGGCTGGATGGACCAACACGCCGAGCTTCACCTTACCTGTCACGTGTAGAAGACGGCAAGAATCCCTCGGCCCACATCCACCCGGCCCCTTCCTGCGTCCCTGTTGCCCGTAATGCCTCTGTTGCAGTTTTATGGGTGAAGCACGTTCAGAGTCTTGACCTGTTAATAAACCACCAGTGGCCGTTGCTCCCTTTCACACGTGCCGTTCTGTTTTATCTAGAGTGACGATGGCAGAGCTTTTTATGGAATGTGAAGAGGAAGAGCTTGAGCTGTGGCAGCAGAAATCAAAACCGATCGTAGTGGATGACGACGACGACGATGACGAGCCCATCTTTGTCGGGGAGATCCTGAGCTCCAAACCAACCAGTACCTGTAAGGGGACATGTGGCTGTAGGTGGAGGGAGCGCGAGGGACTGGAATGGTGGCTTTGCTTCAGAACTGGGACCCTTTCTGCGGCGTGCCAGCGTGCTCTGGAGCAAAGCAAACTACTCCACAGGTGGTGGGCTGAGGGCTGGAAAGGAGTGCTTGGTCCACTGGGAACAGCTGGGGGTTCTGTGCCTCTCCCTCCAGCTAGAGAAGGACGTGAAGCCGCCCCCTGGGGTTTTCCGTAGGAGAATTCCATGACAGAGGCACCACCAAGGCAGGTGCCTAAAGGCAACACCCTTCCTTCCCTAATGTTAACGTTTGTGTATGGGATTTTGGAGTTTCTTCAAAACTACAAATCCCATCATTCTCCTTTCTTGGAGTTCTGCCTTACAAATGCCTCGATGTGGCTCGTCGCAGAGAAAGGCCTAGGCAGAGTATTGGTCCCTTACCCAAACTTGATTTTTTTTTTTTAAAAAAAGCAAGTCTTGGGATG